GGTTTCATCAAATCATCGTGGATATGCATGCATTTTCTTTGTTTTGATGCATTTGATCCAAGTGCATGCAGAGTCAGAGCCTAGTGAAAGATGTACAAGTTATATCCCGTAACATCTCGTTGTTGGAGATGAGGGTCTGATTTTTAGGGTAGACTTCGGTAAAAATATAGGGAATTCGGGGATTATAGAGCACTATGACAAGTTTTAGGATATATTGAAGTTTTATGGAAAATTGTTCCCATCCCTGGGAAAATTCTTATATAAGAATAATAATACAAAATTTTCACTCACCCATCACTATCGTTACTTTCTTCTTGCATTTCCATACTTTTCGATAGACGTCACTGACCAAAATGACCACGTGATACTAGTACCATTGGGGCATAATGTATTTCTGACGTCATACTTTCCTTATCAACATTCAGTTTCTTTCAATGCTTAATTTTCTTACATTACGAAAAATCGTAATATAGTCTCTCACAACATGCTATATTACGAGTTTTCATAATTTAACTATATTACGAAAAATAGTAATATAAGAATAATATTACGATATTCTGTAATATTACGATTTTTCGTATTGGACTGGACTGAATATGAACAAGAGTTACAAGACACTTGTTTGTCTATATTTTCTGTGCTTAATTTCATTGAGTGTATAACACTTGGTATAAAAAAAAAACAACATCATAGATAATCCATTTTTTAAGATGCTGTTATAGATTAAAATGTATAATTATAGCAAAGACTTTTTGTTTTATTTGAAATCTATATCATGTATATAGGCTCATAATGTTACTGATAACACTTGATTTAAATCAATAAGAACTTTTAGATATGACAGGCAATACTAAATCAACACTAGAACGAGATGCAAATGAATATTTAATGACTTTATTGATCAGCTGAAAGGTTTTTTTTTTCAGAATTTTTTCTCGTTCCTTTTAATGAAATTACTTTATGTATTATTACAGTTGACTTATCCTCTTTAATATTTTTCAGAGCGTCAACATCCATGTGGAAAGAAATGGTGAAATCCTCTGGATTAAATCAAGACAATTTGCAAAGTATGTAATCAAGATTTGTTTTAAAAATACAAATAGAAATTTGTTTATAATACTGTATTATGTGCATAAATTGATGTACATGTATTTAGAATTAAGTGCAATTACAGGGTAAGGAATTGTTGGCATGTCTGTGCTGTGTATTGTATTTATAACGATTTCTTAATTTATGGTATAAAATGGTAATCTATTCATAAATAAGCCCTTTGTCCAGATCAAAAACTCAAAAAAGAAAATGTCCACTATAATACTATACTTTAAGTATTTCCATTTTAGATAAAATTTATATAAGTATGATAAATATACATGCACTACATATATACATGTAGGTAGCTGCAGAACTGTGGATTTCTGAAAAATATATATTGACAGAGTGGAGAGCTACAGTGCCACCCATTGAAAATACTTTATATCTATTCCACACAAAAAAGTGCGCTTGATTATGGGTTAATTCTTCCTAATACTTACCTAAATTGTGAGAGAGTTTAATTTCAAGAATGGCTTACTCCTCTATCAAGTAACTTCGTAGTTGACATCTGCACGATGCGTGTTGGACCGAATTATCTTGCAAACCAAAATGGCAGTATAAAAGACTCAATTTTCGATCATTTCAATATCAGGGGTAGGAGGGCTATCAACAACATTTATAGGGATGTTTTTTGGTGGAAAGAGGGAAAGAATACCTGTATGTTAGGAATGCATGGTTAGTAATAATTTGAGATGAACGCTTTTCAAATATGTATATATAAATCGAGAAACAACACTTTTTTTGTGCGCAATAGTTTTTTCAGTGGGTCGCACTGTAGCTCTCCGGTCTGTCAATATCTATTTTTCGGAGAGCTACAATTCTGCAGCTAACATGTAGGATGCACTACATGTACATGCAGGTAAAATATATTGAGATAAAAAAAACAGTATTCAAGCTCAAAAGTCCATTAAACAAGACAATTTCAGAACCGAGCAAACATTGACCTCAAAATCATCTCAAATGGGGGTATCAGGTGCCATGGAGGATTGAGCATCCCCTGCTGAAAGGGCATAGTTGTATTATTGCATAGGTGTATTATTGCTAAGAAATGCATAATAGGATAAAACATAATGATAACATGATGAAGTCTGCTTCAACACTTAGCATTAAGCTTACATAGTCTTAAATAAATTAATGCTTTGAAATCTGCTCTTTGGTATTAATCAACCATTTTCTAATAAAATTTGCAAAATTTTGAAATATATGTGACCCTTGGGTCAGTGGTTCCTTTGGGGTGAGGTGCACAACTGGGTATATAAAGTGGAAGTGCATTTTCTCTTTGTTACTCTGATCAACCTCTGGGTATTAAGTAAATAGAATAAGCATGCTAAGTTAATAATTATAATAAACAATGGTTCCGCTTTCAAAATTGTTAATTGTGAATTTCATCATGTTCATGGCCTCTGGTTTAAAACACGAACCAAATTTAATTGCTTGAAAAATGTTACATAATACTCAGGTGACATATAAGGCCGGTGAGCCTCTTGTTAAGCTTTATTGTAAAATTATTTTTCTTTTTCCAGAAATTCTGAAAAAAAAACTGACTCATAAAAAGCAACAAACAAGAAGATTGAATAACATTAAATCTTTCCAGTTTTTGATGTAGAACTTCCCAGGATCATCCTTTAATATGAAGTGGAGTTTTAAAAAGTGCAGCTGTCAGTAAAAAATGGAATAATAGCAACCTCCTCAGGATTTGGATGCATAGTTTCATAGGAATATCATTTCATTCCTGATCTTCAAAGCATGTGGCTCATCATGGAAACTCAAGCTTATTTACATATTGAAATGGACTGATTGAATTTCTTACAATTCATTGGATTTTAAGGCAATGAGCAAAAGGATTAGACACTGCTGGTCTCTTACTCCAATATGGAAGAAGATTTGGACATTTCTCTTTCCAGTTTGTGCTATCACCATTATAGTATATATGGTTGGCTTCAATTATTTTACTTCTTCAAGGATGTTTGATTTCAAAGAAAGACAGAACGGTGAAGATGTAAGTGAAAATTATAGATTTGAACCACCAGGTGATACAAATTTTACAACAGAACACACACACACTCAAAAGCAATCTTTGATCATCAATAATATGGAGAATACTGAGGCCTTCCGAAATTCACACATCATGATAAGTACAGGTGTTGGGCGATTAGGAAATCGTATGTTTGAATTCGCATCACTTTTAGGAACTGCCAAACGTCATAATTATAAACCAATGATTTTACGTAGAAATACATTATTGCAGGTTTTTGATATTTCACAGGTGACTGATTCAGAACCTTCGAACTTGAAAGGTGTTGGAGAAAGGGGAGCGGGGGTATATGACAAATCGCTAGAAAATTTAAGACATGACAAAAACTATTCATTAGGTGGATTTTATCAAAGCTGGAAATATTTTGATTTCATGAAAGATGAAGTGAAGAAATCCTTCAAGTATAAAAAGGGATTTGTGGACAAAGTTCGGCAACTGCAGGCTTCGCTGAAAATTGGTGATAAAATTACAGTGGGTGTACATGTACGTCGCGGTGACATGGGAAGCAAACGAGAACTCTCCAGAGGCTACAATGTCGCCACAAAGGAGTATTTCAACAAAGCATTCCAATATTTTCGGAGTAAATTTAAAAACTTGATATTTCTTGTTGTAAGTGCTGAAATGGCTTGGTGCAGAAGCAATATGAAAGGTGATGATATTAAATTCGTAACGACAGGTAGTGCAGGTGGAGATATGGCTCTACTCGCTCATTGTAACCATAGTATCGTGTCCACGGGAAGTTTTGGTTGGTGGGGGGCCTACCTCACCGGAGGAGAAGTAGTGTATTATAAGAATTTCCCATCCAATGGCAGTTGGTTGTTAAAGCAGTATAACAAGACCGATTATTATCCCTTGAATTGGATTGGAATGGAATGATTTCTGCTGATTTTAACACTAAGGCCACACCAATAAAATTTCTTGTTCGTCGGACCCACGCGCTCGTATTTAAACAGAACTATACAAATAATATTAATTTTAATTTCCCGCACCATTGGAATTTTGTGCCATTTTCTGTTCAATTTCCGCTTTATCAATCGTATTTTTAATCTGTAAATCAGAAAAAAATAATTGTCCGTTCAAATTTTTTCACGCTATGCCTAAAAAATTGTCTACAAGAAAGTAATAATATTATTTAACCGCTAGCCCGCTCGTATTTATTTTCCTCAAATGTCCGACGAACAAGAAATTAAATATATGCGGCCTAAGATATGTTTAATTGTTTATCCACTATTTATGTTTCTGTATATTTTTTAAAGGCTTTTTGGTATTAACTACATGTACGTGGAAAGTATATTTATGGTTATCTATTTATTTATTTACATGTTATTTGTTAATGATTTTGTCTTTGTAAAACCTATGGATATATGAAAGAGAAAACTGAAGAAGAACATACATGTACAACATGTATAAATTACATAAAGTCCTATTATCTTTGCTGTTTTACAGTTAATTCATTCCAGGTTTATACCAGTGTTAGTGATTGTATTAATAAAAAAAAAATGACATACCATATTATCCCTATTCACTGCCCCAGGCACCTAGAAAATTGCAAGAAGGGGGCAGATGCTTTTGTATTCTAAAATTTTTTATGTCATTTGTTGACTTTAAAAAATCTTTTGAAAAAAGGAACATAATTCAGAGAACCACTAAAACACCAAACTTTTCTTTTAGTTAAGACAATCCATCAGAATTATGCTTTGCGATTTATTTTTCCACTGAGAAACTAAAAATACACGGAGAACAAATTTCATAGGTGACTTTCACTTTCACATGTTTAAGAAATACATAGTGATTATTTTGTTCTAAATATCTCTCACTTCAGGAATACATTACATACAAGATACTCAAAAACCAAGTGTCCTTTTTACATTTTTCAAATTTGGCATCCTTTCAATAGCATTCTAGATGATTTTGAATTAATCATTGTACAGGGGGCCTTTATTTTTGACAATTGAAAAAGACCTGTGGGGTGCGTATAGGGTCAGGGGCAGTCAATAGGTATTATATGGTAGAACTTTTACTATTTATGATTACGTATCTATTAATTGTTATCCAGTATTATCAGATCCTGTATTGATCTCAGTCATAATGCATTACAGTAAAACACACTTATAATGAAGTACTCCCTAGGGATGGAGTTCACTGTAAGCAATCAATTCATTATAAACATATTTCCTATTTGAATGTTTCACTGTATACTTGTATCTAAGGCTTTAAAATACATTCCACCAAATATATTTCCTATGTTCTGATTTCATTGGCAGATGCTTAAAATATGTGTTAAAATAATTTTTTTTTTATTTCATAAGAGTTTTAAACATTAAAAAAGGATTTATGTGCAACTGAAATCTTGAAGGTAAATGGTTAAAAATGGAAATTTTATAAAGTTTATGTTATCTAAGGCTGTGTAATGGTAAGATCATCTTCTCCATGTTCTTTTTTTAGGTCACCTGAGTTAACTCAGGTGACCTATTGCTATCTGTTTTCGTCCGTCGTCGTGCGTCGTGCGTCGTTCGTCGTGTGTTAACATTTGAACATTTTCAGCTTCTTCTCTGCAACCACTGAACCAATGTCAACCAAATTTAGCACAAAGCATCTATGGGTGAAGGGGAACAAAAATTGTGAATTTCATGATCCCTGCCCCCCTGGGGCCTGAGGGGTGGGGCCAAAACCACTAAAATTAATGTAATCTTTAAAAATCTTCTTCTTTACTCCTGGACATCAAGCAGTCGAACTGTTTGCATGATTGTAATCAGCAATAAGTCCTCTACCAAAATTGTGAAATTCATGGCCCTGGGGTCAGGGGTTCTAGTGCTAGGGCGGGGCTAAATAAGTAGGTAGTGAAAATGCATTATTTCTTTGAAAATCTTCTTCTCTGCTCCTGGGTATTAAATAAACCAACTAAGTACATAGTCATGATGAGCAAGAGTGCCTCTACCAAAATTGTGAATTTTATGGCCCCAGGGTCAGGGGTTCTGGTGTTAGGGTGGGGCTCTATTGATTATATAGTGAAAATACATGAATTCTTTGAAAATCTTCTTCTCTGCTCTTGGGTATTAAATAAACTAACTAAGTACATAGTTATGATAAGCAAGAGTGCCTCTACCAAAATTGTGAAATTTATGGCCCCAGGGTCAGGGGTTCTTGTTTTAGGGTGGGGCTCTAAATAAATGATTATACAGTGAAATGCATGAATTCTTTGAACATCTTATCCTTTGCTCCTGGTCAATATTTTAATGATTTAATTACATATTTAAGGCCAGGATTTATTTTATTTTCAGTTTTACAAACCCTCCGCTCAAAGTTTTGAATTTTCAGAAAAAAATAAAAAAAAATTTCTTTCCGATGTCAAATTTGAGTCGGGATCGAGATTTCAAATTTACGAACTCGCACTTCCGGTTTACAAACGGCGGGTATGAGAAGATATGTCTAGTATAAAATTCATCGATAAGAGTGCCATTTAAAACGTTTCACCCGTTCAAAGGACAAATAAAATGCTGACGACTTTGTTGCACAATGACATGCTGGTGAGATAATTCTGTATTCGTATCAAAAGTAACTGTAAATTATTTTCCTCCCCCAGGTTTTAAACTGCCCGTGGTAACTATTGCATATTGCCAGGGTCATTGTTTAGGTCTCTATTATAGCTTACAGTCTAAGCATTATTCTTCAGATAAGAGTTGCTTATGCATCAGATGTAATGAATAAAACTATGGGAGAAATGAAGTCCATTTGAGGAAGAAATAAACAATAACCTGAAGAAATAAAAAAAATTCAACTATTAAAAGGCAAGAATATACAAATATATACAGGCATGTAGTATCATTTGTATCAACCAGAAAAATTATTTTACACTAAAATTGAAAAAATGTTGACCCTACTCCCCAATACTCCCCTGTCTGTTTTATGATAGGAATTATAATTTTTAAGGCATCAAGTAAATTTTAGAACAATGTTTACACATTCACCTAACACATATTAAAAAATGAAGATATATTGAAAGACTTTTAAAGAATAGATTTTTTAAAATATATTTTGATCAACATCACAAAATTTATATAACTGGCCCAAACTGGCAGATGATGAAATAAGCAATTAAATGTTCTACTTTCCTATTTGTAAGCCTTATGTGTCCAGTGGTAGGGAGCCTATTAGGATAGCATAAAAAAGAATGTACAAATGTTAAAAAAAAAATTTTATTTCCTTCTCCTTCGGGACTTTTTTATTCTCATGTTCATAACTAAACCTAAACATAAAAAAAAATGCTGGCCTTATAATGAAGAAAGGGGCCTCTTTCAAAATAGATAATTTCAGGGCTGCTGGGTCAAGGGTACCAGGGCGGGTACTTTGACTAAAAATAAATGCTTTGAAATCTGCCCTTTGATAAGCAATGGTGCCTCTTTCAAAATTTGTGAATTTCATGGCTTTTGGATTAAAACACGAACCAAATACAATCGCTGGAAAGTTGTTACATGATACTCAGGTGACCTATAAGGCCCGTGGGCCTCTTGTTTTTTTTCATATTTTCATACCCAAATTCTTGACAGATCCTGCTGTCTTGTTTTCATGATATTTTTATTAAGCAATACATGAACATGTAATACTGTTGAACCATGAAAATTGTGTGGATCATTTTTTGGAGATTCAGGAAAATTGTGTGGATCAGGGGTATGTCTTTTAACCACAAGGAACCACAATGAACCACAATGAAACCACAAGGAACCACAATGAAACCACAAGGAACCACAAGGACATCTTAATTTAATTTTAATGAATGTATATATGGTTTATATGCATTTTTTAGTCATCTGAGTCACACAGGTGATCTATTTCTATCTGTTATTGTCCGATGTTGTGCTTCCTGTCCGTCTGTTTCCTAATCAGCTCCTTTTCTTGAACAGCTTATCTAATTTCAACCAATTTTGGCAGGGTACAAAGCATCTATAGGTAAAGGGGAGCATAACTTATATTCCTATTCAATTTTTCTGCATAAATATTAGCCATTTGACAATTTTACCTACATAACAAGATTAACTTTAATGTTTTACTTTAGAAAGAATGTGAGTAAATTTTCTTTACTTTGTGGATTCAGGGATATTTTTATGAGTATTTTCAATTACTTAAGTTAACTGTTGATTCTATGAAGCTGAGGATCGGACTACATTAATATTAAATAAGCATTTATGTATTCTGAGTAAATAAATCATATGTGGGTGATCTGTCTATGATGTAAAAATTCAGATATGGCTAGATATTAATTTTTTAGGTGAAATTTGTCGAATTTTTCCTTGTCTCACCAAATATATTTACTATAGTTTATTTGTCAGAATATATAGAATGATAGATTTTACAAAGTAGGTATTTCAGAACTGGCCAGAATCAATCACTGCACAAAATACCTTGATCTGTGTGTATCCAGCATGGAAAATATTCCAAATAAGGTATCAGTTACTATATCATAAGCGATCTTTGTTATTCAGAGTAAAAACCCATATACTCCAGATACATCAAGTTTTTGAGTATTAAAAAATTATTCCTATTATGTTAGAAATTTTTAATTGTATATTATAATTTTTTAATAATCCAGATAAAACAAAGGAAAAATATTTTGCACATATATGAATTATTGGTCATTATCAACCAGATTCCTTGTGAGTGTTAATGTGTTTCTTTGTGTTGTTGTGCAATGGGTAAGGGGTGTTAATGTAGATTGTTGAGTACATTAGGCTGTCAATCCCCTGTGGGTAAGAGATTTTGAAATCCAAAAGGTTTGCTCCCCTTTACCCTGCCAAAATTGGTTGAAATTGGATAAGCTGTTCAAGAAAAGGAGCTGATATTGTTCAAAAGATTAGGAAACAGGCGACAAGAAGCACAAAGCGGAAAATAACAGATAGAAATAGGTCACCTGTGTGACTCAGATGACTAGAAAATACATATAAACCATATATAGATTCGTTAAAATTAAATCAAGATGTCCTTGTGGTTTCATTATGGTTCATTGTGTTTTCATTGTGGTTCCTTGTGGTTCATTGTGGTTAAAAGACATACCCGTGGATCAGTTTTTGGAGATTTTTTAAACTTTTACATATTCTTGGGGACATAATGATAATTTCAATAATTTCATGTACGCTCTTTTACCTACTACAGGAAAAATAATTTTGTAACCCTATTATATTTACTGGTTGA